ACAGGCATTTCTGAAGGAATAAGAATTTTAACTTACATTCCTATGTGAGCTAGAGCATAATATCAATATTTGCATTTAAAGTGCTTGTTTTCAGAGCACTTATATTCATTCTTCCGTTAAAGTAGACAACCACTGAGTAACAAGGATTATCAAAACTCAACAAAACAATGAAAGGAACTGGTGCACTTTCATGTCTGATTATTTCATTTTGTGAACCAAGTGCTCTGATTTCCCAGGGAGTTTCTAAGCCAGGGGTATGTCATGCCTGAAGATGGAAAACTAAGATAGCCATCTCTCCACCTATTTATATACATGTACCAAAGATTTAGTACTTGCAAGACCAGTTTCTTGGCATTTTGAGGCATGGGATGGGATGTGGGGCCTATGCTATAATATTCCGGTATCTAAGTTTTGACGTCACAGAATATCAGAGCTGGAAGGGTCAGTTTGTCTAATTCTGCAATTTAGATGAAGGAACTGAGACTCAGCAATTAAGTGGTTTGCTCATGGTTTTCGAAAAACAAAGCAATTTGAGCAACGTAATTGTTGATTGCATCTCTGTGGTTGAGTGGTTCATTTTCATTCTAGTCTACTCACCTCCTGTTCTCATAGTATACTACTATCAAATCCCAGTTACTTTCATTTCTATTTTGTTTTAACCTCAAAGGTATTCATCAGGAATAAATAAGCTACCTGGGATCCAAAATCCTTCCTAGGTCTTTTCTCATTTCTATGAAGATTGTGTGGTGACAGAATTATGACTTTGGTGTCTTAAGGTGATTTTGTCATTTTTGTTGCTATCGAGAAACACAACTAACAGAGGAAGCACAATTTCAAGAAGTAGTACGTCAGATAGAGCAGCCTCGAAGAAAAGTTGGTGCTATTTACAAGATTTAGTTAATTTTAACCAGATAGTTATGTTAATAGGTTTCTGTTAAAGACTCCATTATAGTCACGGTACAAAGAACTGAAGTTATTTAAAACACATTATCCTCAACATTTCAACATATTCTAAAATTTCTATATTGGGTGCTAGTCCATGATGGGAGGAAAAAACCAAAGAGGACTGTTGTTTCAGCACATTAACAACGAAGCTATTTTAATCAATATGTATTCAATTAGTAGATTTTTCATTAAAATTTTGTATCTACTCAAGTGTATAATCTTGTACAATATTCAAATTTTACACGCATTTCCTATGTGTGCAATATAATCATATTAGTCAGGTAAACAAAACCATTTGCATGGGGCAAGAGCACATTTTACTGATGAGGGGATTTAAGCCCAGACAGTTGAAAGGATTATAGCCAGGTCACAGAGCTAGCTAACTCATTTACAGCTGAGATTAGCTCTAAATCTGGGCTATTTTGTTTGATTCTTATCATAATTCCTCCCCAATTATAGATCCCTCTGTAATGCTAATTAGCTGCTTTAAGTGTCTGGTAGACAATATGTTATTCTAGAAGTGCACAAGATTTGGGATTTGATAGGCAGAGGTCCTCCTGTTTTAGCTCCACCTCTGATAGCTCAGTGACCTAAATAGGATTTACTTAATCTCTCTGAAACCGGTTTCCTCCTGTGTGAAATTGGGGTAACACCTGACACATGATATTATAGACAAAGTATGATGTGTGTGAAATGCATAGCACATAGTTGGTGATTAACATGCGGTCCGTTCCCCAGTGAAGTTGAGATTGTATATTTCCTGAATTATAAGCTATGCCTTTCATTATGAAAGGCATACCAGTGAGAGCACCAAGTGTAACAGGCTCATGTCTTGATAGATAAATGAAATGAACAATGAGGAAGGATAGAAGGTGAGTAGTCTACAGTGAAAGCACCAAGTGTAACAGGCTCATATCTTGATAGATAAATGAAATGAACAATGAGGAAGGATAGAAAGTGAGTAGTCTTTATGAATTCACCTTCTATGACCGGACCAGCTTCTAGTAGGAAAGGAACTGAGGGACAGCATTATAGAACGGCTAGATGAAAGTCCAGGTTTTAAGGAATCAAGCAGCCATTTCCCTATTACTTGTATAGTATTCTTTGAGAAAAGAATTAATATTGAAGCAGGAATTAAAATAATCTTCCCTGGCAAGGTTTTAGTGTAAGAATGATCAACTTATTCGAAAAAGTAATTAAGTCCACACTTACACAGTGATTTTTCAGGTTATATAGTAATCACTATTTTAAAAAGACATGTCTTGAAGTTAAGTAATTTGATTTGAAAGTATAAAATCTTTCATGTACAACTGCAAAAAATAAGTATTTCTTATGCTTGGAAGTACCACGTCAGTGTCTGCATAGGGCAAAATAATAATAAAATTTATTTGTAATTATGTCAATATGCCCCAATCTCCTAAAGGAAAAGGGAGGAGAAGCTGAAAAGATCAGAATGAATGTTGACACAATCTTTCTTGTTTTACTTAAAATTTCCAAGTAAATCTGATCAAGCTTCCAGATTCATGCTGTCCAAAACCATAGCTACTGGGCGCAGGTAGCTAACTAAGTACTGGAAGTGTGGCTAGTTCAAATGGAAATGTGCTGTAAGTATAAAATATACACTGAGTTTTGAAGGCAGTATAGAAAAAAATGTAAAATATCCCAATAAATCATTTAAAACTTGGTTATAGGTTGAAATATTTTAGACACATGGAATTTAATAAAACATCGTTTTAGGGTCTTAGAAAATATATCATTAGCATTAATTTCATTTGGTTTTTACTTTTTTATTGTAATATTAGAGAATTTAAAGTTATACATAGGACTTGCATTATACTTTTATTGCATAGTGCTACTCTAGATACAACTACCAATATATAGAGGGTCATGTTAAAAGCCATGAAAGAAATCTGCAAAATCAGTGAGGAACTCACAGGGCAAACTTGACTTTTTCAACAAATTGTGCACAGAAAGAAATAAGAAAAAAAGGAAAAAAAGAAGAGGCAAAGAAGAAAATGTAAACTGAGACTTGAGAGGTCTACTTCAATGGCAGTCTGAAATCCATGGACCTGCTCCTTAGAACAACCGTAATCAGTAAGTTACTTTCAAAAACCTAACCATTTAAAGTCTCCAGAAATTGGCTGGGCACAGTGGCTGAGGCCTGTAATCCCAGCACTTTGGGAGGCCCAGGTGGGCGGATCCCTTGAGGTCAGGAGTTTGATACCAGCCTTGCCAACATGGTGAAACCCCATCTCTGCTAAAAACACAAAAAATAGCTGGACATGGTGGCTGGTGCCTGTAGTCCCAGATAGGAGGCTGAGGCAGAAGAATTGCTTGAACCTGGGAGGCGGAGGCGGCAGTGAGCCAAGATTGCACCACTGTACTACAGCCTGGGTAACAGGGAGACTGTCTCAAAAATAAATAAATAAATAAATAAATAAATAAATAAAGTCTCCAGAAATTGTTTTAAGGGTATACAGCAAATGAAGAAACATTTATTCAACACATTCTAATAAATCTTGGTGGCAAGAACAGTGAGAGTCTGTGGTACTCAAGTCACAAAGTTCTCCTTCCTCCTCTATTCAGCCAGCATGATAGAAACTCCATTCTGGGCAGCCGTGGCCAAAGATTCCTCTCCCCTCAGCTGTCAGCATTTCTCATTGCCTCCAATTCTCTGTTGCAGAGGCTACATTCCAGGCCAGAGGTTGGAATCTCCCTTCCTTCACCAACCTCCCTCCCCTACTCACAGAGTGGAGCCTCTACTCCAGGGATGGTAGGCTAAGAATACTGGAGCTCTGGTCACCACTGCCCCAGCTTGCTGGTAGGCTACTGCCTCTGCCCAGTTTGTAAAGCAGGGGTGTCACTCTTGAGATAATTGGTCCTTTGTGCTTACCCATGGTTCTGGAGCAGTGGCTCAGATATCTTGCCCAGGGGCAAGAGGCAGTCCATAAGAATACAGTTCTGACAGAAGCCTCAAAAACAATGGAGATTTGGGTGGTAAGCAATTAAGACGAGGCTGGTAGCAGTGAAAATACTCTTGAGTAATACTATACCGATGGATACATACGTTGTGTAAATCCACAGAATTACACCAAGACTGCACCCTAATTCAAATTAGACTGGGTGATTATGATGGGTTGAGGTAGGTTCTTTGATTGTAAAAAATGTACCACTCTGGTGCACCAGAGATGTTGATAATGGAGTAGGCTATTGCATTGCATATGTTGGGGGAGTGGGTATATGGGAAATCTCTGTACTTTCAATTTTCTTGACCTAAAACTACACTAAAAAAAATATTTAAAACAACAAAAGCAGCCCTGAAAAAGGATGTCAATTTTTTTTAAATTTCCACCTTCCATCCCATCACCAGTAAAAGGGGACTCAATATAGTGGATGACTGTGGAGCAATTTATGTGCCATAATGTAAGTAATGTAAAATGCTGCAGTTGATATGTAAAGTCTGGTAGTTCTTCAAAAGGTTAAACATAGTTACCAAATAACCCAGTAATTCCACTTGTAGGTATACTCACAAAAGTGAAAATAAAAAGGAATGAAGTACTGATATATCTACAACATGGATGCTAAGTGAAAGCAGCCAGTTACAAAAGATCACATATTGTATGAGTCCATTTACATGAAATGTCCAGAATAGGCAAATTTACAGAGATGGGATGAATAGTTGCATTGTTGGTGAGGTGAGGTAGCTTAAGGGAAATGGCTAGTTTTGGGGTGATGAAAATGTTCTAAAATTGATTGTGGTGATGGTGTGCAACCCTGAATGTATTAAAAACCACTAAATTGTCCTCTTTAAATGCATGACTTGTATGCTTTGTTACATCTCAAATCTCAATGCAGCTTATTTTTAAAAAATGTAGCCGAGGTGGGAGGATCGCTAGAGGTCAAAGAGTTCGAGACTAGCCTGGACAACATAGCAAGACATCTCTACAAAAAATTAAAAAATTAGCCAGGCGTGGTGGTGCCTGTAGTTCCAGCTACTTTAGAGTCTCAGGTGGGAGTTGGGGGCTTGAAAAAAAAAAGTTAAGATTTTATATAAATAGTGATTCAAAAAGATTTTAAGTCTGTTTAGGATGCTACAGACTAGGTGGCTTATAAACAGAAACTTAGGTCTCAGTTCTGGAAGCCGGAAAGTCTAACAAAAAGGCACCAGATTTGCTGTTTGGTGAGGCTCCACCTCATCGTTCCGATGGTTTTCTTCTTGCTGTGTCCCCACATATTAGAACGGGCCTAAAGGAGCTCTCCAGAATCTCTTTTATAATGGCATTTATTCTATTCACAAAGGCTCCCGTCTCATGACCTAATCATCTCCTAAAGGCCCCATCTCCAAATACCACATTGAGGATTAGATTCCAACATTTGAATTTTAGGGGGTGCACAAACATTTGGTCTACAGCACAAACTAAAAAGCCATTTGCAGCAATTTTTGTGAACATTCATTGAGATGTGCTCTTACAAACACTTTGTTTTTTGTGCTTGTAAATATAAATTTTACAGAGGTACGTTAGGTAAGTGGAAAACTCAAAATGCTAGGTGGTTAAGATGTAGTAGCGTCACTGCTTTAACATGAAACAGGGGATTTGGATCGTTTTCTACTAGCAACGGGACTTTGGGCCAGATGATCTGAATTCAGAATTTTAGGCAGCCCATGTTACTACATAATACCCTCAGTGAGGTTTGTGGAACACCACATAATCAACTTGTCTCTAAATTTCTCTAAGAGAAATAAATACACTAAGAGGAATAAATCAGGACTAAAGAAACCTCACTCCAGCTCAGGTCATATTTGGCCACCAAATGAATTTCAGTGTTAAACTTAAGACAATTATATCAACAAAGACTTTTAATTTTCAAAACTTTTCGTATCTCCAAACTGCAGCTAAGGGGACATATGCTGTACAGTTCAAGTCTCAGTTCTCCTGTATCACCTGTGAAGAAAATACCTACTTGTTTTATAAGGCTGACGTGTGACTCAAAATAAAAAAATGAGATGATGTGGTATACCAATGATCCAGTAACTCTAAAGCATGATGCAAATCCATGTTCATATTATGTTTTTTTTAAAAAGCAAAGCTTAATATTTATTATCTTGTTTTTAGAACAGAAATAACATTAAAATAGATGTTTTTGGAATATCAACATACAATCAGACACACAAAGTCCAAGAATCCTCCCCATCTCCAAGGCCTAAAGGGCAGCTATCCAGCTGTAGTCTATTTTCCTAAATTTTCTCAGTTCTTTTTCTTCAGATTTTGACAACTGATGTATAATGTCCTCTCCTAAACCTGTGTTATTTGTATCCTGGACCTTTTCGATAAAATCATTTTCTTCGTCTGAATCTTCACTTTCTTTTTCTTCTTCCATATCTACATCTTCAGGAATTTCTTTAGCACTTTAACAATAACAGAATAAAAAAACACTATTAAAAAAAGTTTCTAAACAGTAACTTTCTAATTTGACACCTATGTAGAAATACCATACAAAGTAAATGAAGACTTTTCTTACTAAGTACACTTTAAAAATTATGGGTTATTTATAAAAGAGCAGGTGAATTTACAAAAGTATAATTTTAAATTATGTACCAAACCCTTAGAACACACAAAGATCTTTTTTGAAACTTATTTTCAATATATTTTACTTGACTTAATAATCCTATAGCCTTTAAATCGGTTTTAATTTATGAAATAAAAGAAATACGTGGAAGAATATTCTAAAAAAGGATAAACACAAACCATCCTGTTTCCCAAAACAGTGCATCTAAACCTGTCTTAAGAACTGCTTTACCTCTTAGTCTCTTTAGACAGCAGCAATGAATTTACAAACATGGAGCACAGGAAAGCAGCAGATGGCAGGACATGGGCTGGAGTGTGAAGAAGCTGGAGTCAAACAGAAAACAGAGTTCCAGTTAAAATGGTTATCCTCCACCGCAGTCTGTTCCTACAGTGTCCTCACGGAGGCCCTTTTATTGTAAATGCCAAGAGTGAAATGTGAAAAAGCTTTCCCCATACAAAAGCCAAACCAAAGAAAAATGCATTTCTACCTTCCTACATTTATGCCAACAACCACCTCTACCCCTACCCCAGATCCAGGCCAAAACAATCCCAGATCACAAGGTTAACTTATTCAGTTTGTTGTTAGTTATTTATTTGGGTATTAAAGTTGTACAGCATACAAATTACAGATTGACTGTGTCAAAACTCCAGCTTCGGGTGCTTTAAGTGCATTTAATCTGTTTCACATGGTTTGCTTTCATAATTACTTACCTCACTAACTGCAGGTATGTTTTCTGTTAAGGGTAGTTGTACCAGCTCATTCTCTAAAGTTTCATTTAATTTTTCATCCTGCAGTTGCCTGTGTTTTCCCAATATGAAATAAAATGGGGTTGTGGGAAGACTTTCTTCTGCTAGCAGCTATAAGGATTTAAGACAAAGGGAAATTATTTCAGAAGAAAGGAAGAACTGCTTTTGACTTAACAGTAAGTACTACAGAATCATAAGTCTGTGAGGAAAGGGATTTTACAAATTATCCAGCTAGTATGATTCTCTCATTTCACTGAGAAAGCAGCTGAGGCCTAGCATCGCACTTATGAGAAGAGCTAACAGTGGACACTTAGATGACAGAATAAAACATGCATTTACCACTAGTTCTTCACCAAATCCCACAAAAATGACAGCAAAAGGGTTTTCGAAGGGCACATACTCACAATGATAGAAAATGAGGGAAAAGGCCTCAACAGTAACATGTTGGAAGCTGGAGAGCAGGCTGAAGGATGGTATTGAGCTCAGTAGAGCTGAGAAAGCACAATTCTAAGCTGGCTGTAGGGAAAGCCAAGCATCCCAGTTCATACTACAGAATCCTGCACATGCTCAGGAGTTGGTAATAATAGTAACTCTGCATGTGGGGTGAAAATGGGACTAGACAAACCAGATGGGCTGGTCAAAAGTCTATTTAGAAAGCACCCAGATTGCTACAGCTCCTCCTGAGCCACAGCAGAGGGCTCTAGGTCTTTAGGCTGGGTATGGGTAGCAGTGGTGGCGGTGGTGGTGGTATCTTCATATCTAGGCAGTTGTACTTCATTAGGGGGTTCTCAGAACACTGGCAGGCAGGTCTAAGTCCTTCAGGCAAGAACGCAGAAGAATTTTATATGGTTAATTTGACCAGCCTAAGTAAAACCTAAAGATACAGCTGACCTTGGAATAACAAGGGTTCGAATAACACGGCTATGTCAAGTTTATTCTATTTCTGCCAGAGCTGAGATGGCAGTATCAACCCCTTTTCTTCCTTAGCCTACTTGATGTGAAGATAAGGATGAAGACCTTTGTGATGATCTATTTCCACTTAATGAATAAACATATTTTTCTTTTCCTTACAGTATTTTTTATTTTTTTTGAGACGGAGTCTAGTTCTGTCACCCAGGCTGGAGTACAGAGGTATGACCTGGGCTCACTGCAACCTCTACCTCCCAGGTTCAAGTGATTCTCCTGCCTCAGCCCCTCGAGTAGGTGGGATTACAGGTGTGCACCACCACGTCAGGCTAATTTTTGTATTTTTAGTAGAGATGGGGTTTTGCCATGTTGGCCAGGCTGGTCTTGAACTCCTGACCTCAAGTGATCCACCTGCCCCGGCCTCGCTAAGTGCTGGGATTACAGGCATGAACCACCGTGCCCAGCCTCCTTATGATTTTCTTAACATTTTTTTTTCCCTCTAGCTTACTTTGTTGTAAGAATACAGTATATAACACATATAACACAAATAACTGTTATTGGTAAGGCTTCAGATTAAGTTCTGGGAAGTCAAAAGTTATACATAGGTTTTCAATCTCTATGTTGCTCAAGGGTCAATTGTAATGACATTTGAGATTGTCTCAATAAATTAGCTCACATAGTGGAAGCCAGGGGATAAGTTCTGCACAGGCAGAGAACTTCCAAGTGGCTTTTTAACCCACTTTTAAATCCAAAGACAGTCAAGAATCATCAGACTCTGATGAAAACCTCTAGATGAAAGGCAGCAACCAAAACAAACCAAAACCAAACAAAAATGTGATGGAAACAGACCATGAAAAAGAAAAAAAGATGTGATGATAAAGATGAAGAAATCTTCCAGAAAACAAACAAAAAATAGGTAAAACAATAAGAATCATAGAGAACCATTTTAGAAGGTCCAGCACTAAATAATAGGAGTTCTAGAAAATAGAGAAAATACAGGGAAAGAAGTAATTAGCTCCTCCTTAGTTCTCTACTCAAAACCCTCCAAGGGGCCCTATATGTAACTCAGATAAAAAGTCAGAATCTTTTCAAAAAGGCCTACCTAGACTTCCCTGTTTAAAATGATAAGCTGCATCCCATGCATGCCATCTTTTCATCTATCCCCCACCCCACCGTAATTCTTACCACCTTCTCTATTCCATATTTTACTTAATGCATGTTGTTTACTGTCTCGATCTTCTGGTGGACTGTGAATACCACAAATTTATAGGGACTTGACTACTTTTCTCACTACTGTATCCCAACGGTCTAGAATGGTCCCCGGCATACAGTAAATAACAAAAAAATTATTGAATTAATCCAATGAGTTTCAAAGGAAAATAAACAAGCCAAGTTACAGATGAAGGAACAAGAATAAGAATGGTATTGAACTTCTAGTAATACTGGAAATTAGAAAATAATAGGACAATAATGTCAAAGTTCTGCAAGAATGATTTTCAACCTACAACTCTATAATAATCAAGTGAAAGAGAATAAAAACATTTCCAAACATGCAAGGTCTTCAATTGACCTCCAATGCACTAAAAGAATGCTTCACCAAAACGAGGGAGTGACCAAAGAAAGAGAAAAACTATGCCACTAATAGAGTAGAGGTCAAATAAATCCCCAGATGATGGTGAATATAGATCCTAGGATGACTACTCTGTAGCAGGTTTCCAGAGCAATCAGTCCAGACTGAAGACAGTCAGAAGGCTCTTGGAAATAATCCTTCATGACTTGAAAAAATACCTAAGGTATCTGAAAACACTCAGAGAACACTTATACAACTTGAGCAGAATTTGGGTTGAATTACATGAGAATAGAAAACTAAGCAAATGAAAAAAGAAGGCAATCATTAACTCCAGAGAAAATAAAAACTTGGTCACAAAAGGAAAAACAATCTGCCTATTACTACTACATGGCTTGGCTATGAATTGTGTTAATACAGCTATGACAATGACTACTAAACTAACCTATTTAACATTTACCCATATGGGGAAAATTGGGGGACAAGTAGGGAAAGTGTGTGTTGTGTATATGCAAGCAGTGCTGATGTAAAAAAGGGCTAAAAATTCAGCTTCAATAGATCAGAGTTAACAGATAATACCTAAATCTGAAAAATCTATAATTAGAAATATAAACATTTCTTAGAGATTTCTTAGAGATTCAGAGTTAAAAAAAACTTCAGCTAAAAGATTTGAGAGTGATTGTCTTTGAGGGTAATGGTAGTGGTGATGGAGTTTTTTCTGAAGAGCCTTGTAAAAATATTTGACTCTTTAAATCGGAAGCATGTTACTGATATTATAAATTAAAACAATTTTAAAAGAGCACTAAAACTTTCAAGAGAGACATACCAGTTTATAAGTATATGACTTCTAATTCCATTTTAGGGTCAAGTGAAATATTTTTCTCATAGTTGACTTCTAAAAGGTAATTGTATCCTTTCAGGTAGGCAATGCATCCTGCTATGAATGGCTAAAACATACCTGTTTGCTTGTTGGTGTGAGTTTTTCTTCTGGAGACTTTGTACTGAATGTCAATAAACTCTGAAAAGAGAGATCAATTAACGATACAAAAGACAAACTGTAGAGTGCAAATCTAAACAAGGTGTTACAGGGTGTTAAAAAATGGGAAGGTCAAATTTTTCATTTTGATATATATATTTGACAATAGAAAAGGAATAAAAGATTTAAACCTATTTAATAACCACTATGAGAGTTACAAGATTATGTCTGAGAGATACTTAAGAAATGGAAATGAATAAAAAATAACTGACAGACCAAACTCAAGCCACCATTTTAAAAACTGCAAATCAAACACTAAAATAAAAAAAACAAAAAACATTTACGCAATTTGAAGTATTTTAGTTGTCTTCTGCTTCTTTGCTGTCACAGAGTTAATGCAAGCAATACCTAAGGAACCTCAAAGGTGTGGGGTAAAATGATAATACATTTACATTAATAATACTGCTGTACTGGGCATATTAGACCTAATTTTTGGGGAAATAATCCTTTAATGAAGTTATTTCACCTAGAACAAACTCACACCAACAGTCATGGGCTATTAGTCTAAAATTCCATGTACAAAGCGATTGCCTTTTTTGAGGGGGGCAGTTACCTGTGATTTTGTTAGGAAGTAAAACTGGGATCTATTTAGCCACTGGTAAGCTTCTGAGGTGAAAGATTCAGGGACATCTCGTGGAACAAACACTCCCCACTGGACTTCCTCTCTGGAGATACCCTTTTGAATATACAATGGCCTTGGCTCACTAGGTTTAAATACAAACACTAGAGGAAAAAAACAAAGAGACAATAACATTTTGCCTGAAAAGGTTAGTTCTAGCCTTAGACTGGCAGATCACACTAATCCTGGGACTCACCCCATTGAGTAACTGGCCCAAGTCATGACTGTTTTAGGCTGATTCAAGAGGTATCTACTGTGTGCCTACTATGGGCCAGGCAGGTTAGGAATGAGGGCTATGAGGATGAAAAAGAGAAAGAAGAATTCCTGCTCCAGAGGCCAGGGCCTACTGCAGAAGACAGAAACCACAGTAGTATTTTGTCTGTAAGTACTAGAAATGAGATATGTAGAAACTGCTTCAAGAACACAGAGGATGACCAATTAAAGCTTCTCAGGGGCAGTTGGGAATGTGTCAAAGTGGTGAAATCTCCTGAATTTTAAAGACTGAGTAGGAACTGGCTTGTGGAAAAATAAGAAACGTATTGGAGCTCTCCTAGAACTAAGTATGGACTTACACAATGACAAAGTGTTAGGGCAAGGAAGGGCCGTGCCTCAAGCAAAATGGCTTCCAATTAACATCTGATTTGAAGGCAAGTTTGACTCAAATTATATTAAGAAGAAAACTTAGGTCATAGATATTCTCTTACTACAAAGTGTGGTTTGTACTTACAGTCTGAACCCACTGAAGACTGAGAGATTGCTGCAATATTCTCTGAATTAGGATCAGGTTCCATAACTCTAACATTTAATTTTGCATTCCACTCCACTGAGGGGGAAAAAAAAAAGGTGATTCACTTCTGAGGAAAGATTTACCAAAAGCTTTAAAAAACTTCTATTATTCTTAGGAAGAGGAATCTTATGCTTCCAACTAACACACATGGAGACACACTGAAACGATCTGTGGAAGGCTGCACTAAAGTGAGAGGCCGAAAGAAAAACACACTGGAACTTTAGCGCTCCTTGTACAAACTATGAAAAGATTATTATTTCATTGAAATTTATGTCTAGTGCTTTTCTGATGCTGCTAAATGTGGATAGTATGTTAACCAGAGTTAACTGTAAAGAATACTGAAAAAAGTTACCACACACATTCATTTAATAAGCAACTACTATGCCTTCCAAACATACACTCAAATGGGTAAAATGTTCACATTTGTTAGGACTGTGATAGATTACATTTGAATTTAAGTTGTCGGGGTAAGGCAGATTAGTAAGCATTAAAAATGAGCAGAAAATTATTCAAATTGTTATGAGGATGGGGATGTAGAGGGCATCAGAAAGTCACACACACTAAAAACAGTAGAAAAAGGTAAGGATAATGGAAGACGACTTACCAACAATTAAGCAGTTAATAAATAATGTCTATTACAGGCTCAGTATTCCAAATTTTGGTGGTATAATATGTCATGTAAAAAACTGACTATTCCAAGTACAGACCTGATGATATGATCCCTAAGTCCTAAAATGCCAAAGTTTAATGTCAACTCCCTATGCGCTTTGCTAGATCACTTTAGAGTAAAAAAAATCTTACATGCACAACTCAGCAGATTCCAACAGCAAAGAATGCCATTTTCAGTAGCACCAAGTAGATACTTTGAACATGTCAATCTCCCAAAGCAAAGGTGCCTAGATTAAAACCACAAGGAAGTTAGCAACAGTCAGTTCTATCAAATTCAGTTACAAAGAACTGCAGGCTTCCAGCGGCTGTATTAGTTCTATGTGATGCAGATTTTAATATAGACACATATGTTTTTGTTTATAATTATCCTGAAGAAAAAAGTGTCTAAGGAGTACAAAAGGAAGGGTTTAACTATTTCTTTAGGAAAATAGATCAGATGACCAATTCTTTAACACACTGTGCAGTATACCAATGAACATGTAACAGAGAAAATGTACATCAAATGTACAAAGTCATCTGACAAAAATCCTATTTTATTTACTGAGAAGAAGAAAACTTGCAATTTCAATTCTGAAGAAAGTTTTACAAAGTAAATTCAGAATCAGACTTGCTGGCAATTAGAGACGATCTCAGTAGGCATCTGATTCCGTTCTCAGGACCAACTACCTGAAAATGCTTCTGCTACTTTCCCCTGCGCCTCTCAGAAACGATGAGGTTGGCACATAACATGGTTTTTATGGGAATACACCAAAAATAAGAAGGTTTGGATCCCCTGAGGCTTATGTATGGCTTCTGTTATCATTCAGCACATCCATGAAAGTATTCCAAAGAAAAAATATGTAGGCCAAGAGTTAAATGTTAACCTGAATTTCAGAAATGTTGGCACACTTTGTGAACTCAGAATTTTTGGCTTTCCAGCATTTTTGGCTTTTCAGCTTGCCCCACTGACCTTCAGGCTACTTTTGGAGAGGGCATAAATGACTACTGAAGTTTTAAGACTTGCTTAAACAAGTTAAAAAATAGCACTACATACTTCCCAAATGATTTACCTACCTTATTTTCCCAGCTCGTTGGCAAAATGTACATTTAAGTTCCCATGTTATGGAATCCCATATTGTGACTATTTCCTCAAAACTAACGGCTAGTAAAGAACCATCTTCGGAGAAACAACAGTTAGTTGCTTGATATTTGTGATAACTACCAACAAAGTCACAGGTCCAGCCAACAGCTTTTTCTGTGGAAATATAAGCCATAATGTTCAGAAATTGTGTAAATGCTAGAGAATGCTACAGTAGTTCCCCCTAGTCTCCCGTTATCTGAGGGTTCACTTTCTGTGGTTTCAGTTCCCGGGGGTCAACTGAGGTCTGAAAATAGCTGAGTACAGTACAAAAAGATATTCTGAAAGACAGAGAAAGGCAGAGACAGAGCACACACATATTCACTTAACTTTTATTATAGTATATTATTGTAATCATTCTATTATTAGTTATTAACCTCTTACTGTGCCTAACTTATAAATTAAACTAATTTATTCCTATATGTATGTATAGGAAAACCAGTATATATAGGGTTCGGTACTATCTGCAGTTTCAGGCATCAGCTGGGGCGGTGGCGCGGGGGCGGGGGGGGCTCTTGGAATGTATCCCCCACTGTTAAAGAAAGACTGCTAAACAAGGAACATTATAAGCAGTAGGGATTAAGAAACAAAGAAACAAAGATATACACACAAATAAAAAATAAAATAAAAAAGAAACAAAGACACAAAACAAAAAAACCTGTTCCCCACAACTTCTTTAAGTCAGAATTGCTACAAAATCTGACTGTTTTGAAATTTATGCCCTCTCCTGGAGACCTTGACCTCCCTCTAGTGGAGGAATGAAAGGACTCTTGGTAAAAGCCCCTTTTACTTTACCCTAAAAAACCAGAATAATCAGCACATGATTAATCAAGAATGCCATTTAAAAAGAACAGATTTGAGGAAAAAGGCATGTAAAATGCAATCTCTTAAATCTATTAAAATTAAGCAATATCCTGTAGAATTCAATAAAGCAGAAAATGTCCTCCCAGGATGGATACAAGTCATGAGAAAAAGAAATTAATTCCTAAAATTGTGCACACTTTAAACATAACATATTTAATTCACGTACTGTATATATCAGAGTCATCTGTTAATATCCACACTTTGAAGTAACCATCTTTGCTAGCTGTAACCAAGGTGGGCTGTTCAGATTTTTCCGCATTGCAGAAACAGAGAGCTGTAATGCAGTCTTCGTGTGGCATGTTAATCTTAGTGTTAAGGATAAACCTAGCGGGAAGGAAACCACAAATTTATTCTTGCATGAGGACAAAGTGATGTATAGAAGAATTTCTGACATGCTGTACATTTTACAATAGCATCTTGAACAACAGGCAACTGATAATCACCTAGAATGACAAACAATTGAGTGCTCTACCTTTAATGGCCACAGGATGCAAAGAGTTCTAATATATCACCTTTGCCCTTTTGTAACTTTAGAGAACATTATGTGTACTAGTCAACCCACCGGTACAAAATGAGGATAAAACAGGTCACCAATCACTGGTACTCAAAAGCCTACTGTATCAAACTCTGCAGGAACTTGTATAGAACCCAGATTCCTGCCTACTTTTGAAAATAAAAAATGGAATGGCTGTGAAACACCCCACTTGGGCCAAGGAAAAATAGACAGGAAACTACTTAGTCAAACTGGCTGGTCATTATTTACTATTTTTAGTCACCTAAATGACCTGTTAAAGCTTGTTTCGAGCTTAGAGGGCAATGCTATGAATTAAAGATAACTAGGACTGTGTTCTTAAAAGAACATCAAGGCGGCATAGGGTTGTGATTTTAAAAGAGCACAAGTTATAAAAACAGTGACTAGGGACAACCACTTAATCTCTCTGGGCCTATTTCTTCACCTATAAAATATAGACAACAGGCTTATCTTACAGTGTTCTTTTGAAGAGTAAGACAATGGGTACAAAGCTCTAAGCCAAGTTCTTGGCACACAGCAAAGATTTGATAAATGGTTATTATAGCTAGAGTACGAGAGTGGATTCCTTATCTAATCACAACATCCACGCTACACTATACTACGCTACACTTCTACCTATACTCCCTCTTTTCCAAAGGCAGTATGCTGTTTATGGAAGTGCAAGGGAACATTTGGATTCTAATCCTGGATTTGTCTAGAATTTGGTATTATGCCCTTGAGGAGCTGTCACTTTTCCATGTGTCTTTATTCATTATGAGATGACATTATGATTTAGAGGACACCAATGCTTTCTCAGAGCAAAAAGCTTAAAGGTTTTATTAGAATAACACCTCTCCCGTATCTCTAAATCTAAACCTTGTCAAGATGAAACATCTTAAAGACAACTGAAACCGTAAAATGGGAAGTGAAATATTTTATACTTTGAAATTAAGTGGCTACACAGATAGTATTACCCTTGTGTTTTCTTATTATACATCCACAGTTTCATCTGCAATTCAAGCTCAGTTTCCTTTTCTTGCCGCTGTTCCACTGTTGCAAGCCAGTTACCAAAGCAGCCAAATGCAGCCTTTGTTAGTTCAATTTGGATCAGACCATAATCATTAATATATTCTTGCTGTATAATATCTAACTGATGAGTAAAAAAAAAAACAAAAAAACCAAAATGTTTATTAACATAAATACACAAACGTTACAGCATTCAAGGAATGATAATTAACTACATCCAAGACAACTTCTATAATCTATAGTAATAGATTTTTAAATAAAGGTAAACATGAACTAATTGTTACTGTGGACACTAGAATTGTCATTAAAAAAGGGAACACATTATATAGTATCAATTTGGTGGTAATTATTCTTCAATGACCTTGAATATTAGCGATTACTAACACCCACTATATGATACAAGAGAACCGTTAATTTATAGTAGTGCTTTTCTTTTGTTTCTAAGAACATACAGCTTTACATCATCTCAAGGCTAGATTCTCCATCACTAGAAATAAGCAGAACAGAAATAAACCTACAATCTTTAAGAAATGAAAAAGATAGCCAATGTAAGTAGGCAGCATTTATTTATGGTTGTTTTACAAAATCCCATTTCCTTGCCTATACTAAGTAAATAAAATGCCTACTATTAAATGTACTAAATGCCTACAATTTACAGGTATTATACTTGAGATAAGCATAAAAAGATTAATACGCTTCCTTTTTTTTCGGGGTCTAAAGGCCATGGTGAGAGAGCTAGTGTCACAGTTGCTATGACAGAGATCTATAAAGAGTGCTGTGGGGCACAAGAAAAGTGGAACATCTGGATTGGACTTATCAGGATTGTAAGAAGTGTTCCTCTTTAATCGACACTGAACATTTTATCTTCCATATGTGAATATGACAGTGTTTCACTACGAAGCAGATACAAATTTGTATTGTCAATCTACCTATTTTTGTTTCTTTATCCTTGTGACTCAAAGGCACAGATGTATGGGACAGCTAATAGGAAGGCATTCTGAAACAAAAGATAGAGAGAGCAAGTGCAGGAGTGCCAACTGGCTTACATTTAATCTGCAACTGTGGCCTCAACGGAATTATGCTCTGAACAACGGAACTAAGTAACCATGAATAATACTATGTTCAAGTAAATATCTGCACAGGATCTTGTTTTAAAGGCTACTAAACAAACTGCTTGACTCCAGTGGTATTGTAAAGAGCTTTCATTAATTTCAAGGCTAATGAATCAAAATCTTACATTGTATAACTGCTTATCACTCTGGAGAGAATAAAACTGCAAGTGGCCAGGCTTTCCATTCAAAACCAAAGCTTTAGTTCTTGGATCAATCATCAAACCAGTGAAGATACTCCTATCTGCAGAAGTAGTGACAAATAACAGGTGAAATCAGAGAAATATGCACTCTTTAAAATGTTCATGATTCCAAATCCACTGAGTTCTGCAATACCTTTCACTAGGCCTTGAATTACTGCGGATGCCTCAAGGTTTCGGTGAATAATTATTATCTCTGTGGGTAGAAAAAAATAGGTATTTAAATATCAATAGGTTAGAGAAAGCTTGTCCAACCTGTGGCTCAGGGTGGCTTTTTATACAGCCCAACACAAATTCATAAACTTTCTGGAAACATTATATTATTATTGTTTTTAGCTCATCAGCTATCATTAGTGTTAGTATATTTTATGTCTGGCCCAAGACAATTCTTCTTTCAACGTGGCTCAGGGAAGCCAAAAGATTGGACACCCCTGGGTTAGAGCTTCAAGGTGGAGTCATCTGAGTTTATATCATTCTGAAATATACCAGAATACAAAACAACCCAGTAAGTTCAATGAACTCAGAGTACTACTAGAAAATCAGGAATATATTTTGTGATTTAGTGGAAAATCTAGGGGTGGGGATAGGGGTTTTCTGTTGGAGTCTTTAAGTTTTTTATCAGTTGTACCTATTAACACATTTTAAGTGTTAATGCAAAATCTATAAAGAATATATCTAATAAAGATAGTTTAACTCTTTCATGCCACTAAATGAACTGTTCACAGTTATGTTCTTTTTTGAAAGAAAAGGAAGTGGATTTACAAAGACACCATAGTCTAGGCTGAGCAGTCACTGGTTGAACAAAGTTTTGGAGAAATACAAGACCACCTCTATTTCTATCAAATCTACAGGACTCATGCCCCGAGGTAACAGCTGTATCAAGAGAATCTTGCAGTATTCTTTTGAAAATGCCACGTTTATGAAAGCACCAATGCCCCCTTCCAAACCTTCCCTTTACTTCCCCACGTCATCCCACACTAAGACTTTGAAAATGTAAGTGGCACATCAATAACCAAATATACTTAGCCTCCACTTGATAAAAATAATTCTCAAAAACGTTGAATTCTGGTGGTGCCTGGGGGTAGAGGGGGGTGGATAAGAGAGGAGTAATGCAAGGAAAAGAAGGCTTATTAAATCTCATATGCTACTCTTAGTTTTATGTCTCTTTATTCTCTGTTCCCTACAGATGCTAGCTAATTTATGGTGTTTATATATTTCCTCACAATAAAAGTTTAGACTTACTATTATCAGAGTGAGAAGTGCAGAATAAATCTCCTGCAGGTGAGACTGAGATATGTTCAATAGTAGCTCCTAAACGTGGGAGAAACTCCTTATTCTTCTCTGTTGCATCGCGCCACTCTACAAGTACGGATTCACGACCGCCACTCAGCAGGCTGGTGCCTTCATATCCATTCAAAGAAATTAAAAGGACGGTGTTTTGGGGAAAAAAGAGAAAGAAAAATATAATTAACACTTTATTTTTTCCTACCGTACTAGAGAAATAAACTCATTTAAAGCTACAAAAAGTGTCTTCATATGTTTTAATATACTCTGAAGACAAATGATCACTGGTTCAGGAATTTTTTTTCCAGTGATATCTGATTAGTTTGTTGCTGACCAACTCTTCTGTCGACAACTAGAAAAGCTGGACAAACAAACATCTTTTAGGACATGACAGCTTTACTGATAAATTTTTCAAAACACTTAAGAAATAAACCAATTTTATACTCTTACATGTAACCAAAAGAGGACACTTCCTACTTTGCTTCACAAGATCCTAATAATACTATACCAAAAATATTATATATATAAAAAAAATACAAGCCAACTTCATGACAGATGAAAACTCTCAAGTAAAATACTATACCAACGATATATTAAATGGATATCATGTCATCACAGAGTTTACTGCAAGAGTGAGATTACTTAACAGCTGAAAAATAAATTAATGTAACCCCACTTACAGAACAAAAGGAAAAAATCATGATTATTTGAATAGATGCAGAAAAAGCAAATGACAGAATTCTATACCCATTCATGATAACACCTCTCAGAAACTCAGGAATGGATGGGACCCTTTGAATCTCATCAAGAATACCTGGATAACATCTATAGAGAACACCACACTAAAAGTTAAACTATCGAAAACTTTCCCTTTGTGATTAAGAACACTATTACCATTTTGATTCAATGTTAACTGGATGTCTAGTGCACTGAAATGAAACTGGAAAGGCTTAAGGATTGGAAAGAAGGAAATAATCACTTCCATGTTCACAGACAGCATGACTACATCAAGGCACAGCCAAAATAGTTTACAGATAAACTTACAAAATAAGTAAATTTAGCTGATTATAAGAGAAATATACAACAATCATTTTTATTTTTCAATACTAGCAAGTCAATTAGAATATAGAGTAAAAAATACTATCAAAAGACCATCAAATGTCTACTGAAAAATATATGTGAGAACCCTACAGAAAAAAAATCCTAACTCGTGGAGATAAAGACCTAAAAAGTGGAAAAGTATTTGTTATGATTACAAATTAAAATACTCAATACTATAAAAACATCAATTCTCCTCAAACTGATCAATAGCTGTATTGTCAACACGGTAGCCACCAGTCAAATGTGGCCACCTAAATCTAATGGTTTGAAAACAAACAAAAACCTGCAAGAGACTGTCTTAATGACTACATGGATAGATAGGACACTGTTTCAGACTGTTTTCTCAGAAGTATTCCATCAAATAACCATTTTTCATTCTTTCATGAATCTAAAACGACTGGTTTTAAAGATCACTGGTTGATAACGGGGTTTTTATCAAATTTTCTAAAGCTGCAGGCTGATAAAATCTAGCTAAACTGAAGACTAAAGGTATGTAGTTGTGATGTATACAAACAAAATTAAGAAGTTGAATCTGATATATACACATATGATACATTGTGCATACAGTTCATATATGCCTTAAGTTATAAAGTTTTCCACAACAACTAAAATCTGTGTTTCTTTTACATTTCCACAGCTATTTTTTTCTTTTTCTATTAACTCATACCTACACAGTAAGTAAGGACATTTCATTGAAAACTACATACTGTAACCATTATTTCTCATTTTAAAATATTCATGCTACTTGAAATATAACATCAAGAATTCAAATCGCGGCTGGGCACGGTAGCTCACGCCTGCAATCCCAGCACTTCAGGAGGCAGAGGCAGGGGGATCATCTGAGGTCAGGAGTTTGAGACCAGCCTGGCAACATGGTGAAACCCTGTCTCTACAAAAATACAAATAATTAGCTGGGCGTAGTGGTGCGTGTCTGTAGTCCAGCTACTTAGGGGGCTGAGGTGGGAGGACCGCTTGAGCCTCGGAAGTCGAGGTTGCAGTGAGCCAAGATGGTGCCACTGCACTCCAGCTTGGGTGACAAAATGAGACCTTGTCTTAAAAGAAAACAAAAACAAAAACAAAAAACAGACCCTGCCTGGAACATATACAGACGTGTACATAAGGATACCAAGCACTCACTAGTATTTTCAGGGTGTGGAGTGGGAAGGAGGGTAGAGAATACAAATAAGCAGCCTACATTGTCTCCATACACTAGTCATTACTCCCCAAACCATAATCGGGTTGAAGGTGCCTCTTATTTTCTGGGGCTTCTGGGCATTAAACCTAAGTAAGCCTCTAAGGATCCCACAGCATTTGGTACCATCTAAGACTTGTCCTTTCAGTCTCCAGGAAGACCTGCAGAAAGAAAAATCACTTTTCCTGGTTTCTCATTTTTTAAATTATTATTAAAGTTCTAGGGTACATGTGCACAACGTGCAGGTTTGTTACATATGTACAAATGTGCCATGTTGGTGTGCTGCACCCATTAACTCGTCATTTACATTAGGTATTTCTCCTAATGCTATCCCTCCCCACTCCTCCCACGCCACGACAGGCCCCGGTGTGTGATGTTCTCCATCCTGTGACCAAGTATTCTCATTGTTCAATTCCCACCTATGAGTGAGAACATGCGGTGTTTGGTTTTCTGTCCTTGTGATAGTTTCCTCAGAATGATGGTTTCCAGCTTCATCCATGTCCATGCAAAGGACACGAACTCATCCTTTTTTATGGCCGCATAGTATTCCATGGTGTATATGTGCCACATTTTCTTAATCTAGTCTGTCATTGATGGGCATTTGGGTTGGTTCCAAGTCTTTGCTATTGTGAATAGTGCTGCAATACACATACGTGTGCATGTGTCTTTATAGTAGCATGATTTATACTCCTTTGGGTAGATACTCAGTAATGGAATGGCTCGGTCAAATGGTATTTTTAGTTCTAGATCCTGGAGGAATCACCACATTGTCTTCCACAATGGTTGAACTAGTTTATAGTCCCACCAACAGTGTAAAAGTGTTCCTATTTCTCCACATCCTCTCCAGCACCTATTGTTTCCTGACTTTTTAATGATCGCCATTCTAACTTGTGTGAGATGGTATCTTATTATGGTTTTGATCTGCATTTCTCTGATGGCCAGTGATGATGAGCATTTTTTCATGTGTCTGTTGGCTGCATAAATGTCTTCTTTTGAGAAGTGTCTGTTCATACCCTTTGCCTACTTTTTGATGGGGTTGATTTTTTTCTTGTAAATTTGTTTGAGTTCTTTGTAGGTTCTGGATATTAGCCCTTTGTCAGATGAGTAGATTGCAAAAATTTTCTCCCATTCTGTAGGTTGCCTGTTAACTCTGATGGTAGTTTCTTTTGCTGTGCAGAAGCTCTTTAGTTTAATTAGATCCCATTTGTCAATTCTGGCATTTGTTGTTATTGCTTTTGGTATTTTAGACATGAAGTCCTTGCCCATGCCTATGTCCTGAATGGTATTGCCTAGGTTTTCTTCTAGGGTCTTTATGGTTTTAGGTCTAACATTTAAGTCTTTAATCCATCTTGAATTAATTTTTGTATAAGATGTTAGGAAGGGATCCAGTTTCAGCTTTCTACATATGGCTAGCCAGTTTTTCCAGCACCATTTATTAAATAGGGAATCCTTTCCCCATTTCTTGTTTCTGTCAGGTTTGTCAAAGATCAGATGGCTGTAGATGTGTGGTGTTATTTCTGAGGGTCCTGTTCTGTTCCATTGGTCTATATCTGTTTTGGTACCAGTACCATGCTGTTTTGGTTATTGTAGCCTTGTAGTATAGTTTGAAGTCAGGTAGCGTGATGCTTCCAGTTTTGTTCTTTTTGCTTGTCTTGGCAGTGCGGGCTCTTTTTTGGTTCCATATGAACTTTAAAGTAGTTTTTTCCAATTCTGTGAAGAAAGTCATTGGTAGCTTAATGGGGATGGCATTGAATCTATAAATTACCTTGGGCAGTATGGCTGTTTTCACGATATTGATCCTTTCTATCCATGAGCATGGAATGTTCTTCCATTTGTTTGTGTCCTCTTTTATTTTGTTGAGCAGTGGTTTGCAGTTCTCCTTGAAGAGGTCCTTCACATCCCTTGTAAGTTGGATTCCTAGGTATTTTACTCTCTTTGAAGCAATTGTGAATGGGAGTTCACTCATGATTTGGCTTTCTGTTTGTCTGTTATTGGTGTATAGGAATGCTTGTGATTTTTGCACAGATTTTGTACCCTGAGACTTTGCTGAAGTTGCTTATCAGCTTAAGGAGATTTTGGGCTGAGACGACAGGGTTTTCTAAATATACAATCATGTTATCTGCAAACAGGGACAATTTGACTTCCTCTTTTCCTAACTGAATACCCTTTATTTCTTTCTCCTGCCTGATTGCCCTGGCCAGAACTTCCAACACTATGTTGAATAGGAGTGGTGAGACAGGGCATCCCCGTCTTGTGCCAGTTTTCAAAGGGAATGCTTCCAGTTTTTGCCCATTCAGTATATTGGCTGTGGGTCTGTCATAAATAGCTCTTATTATTTTGAGATACATCCCATCAATACCTAATTTATTGAGAGTTTTTAGCATGAAGGGCTGCTGAATTTGGTCGAAGGACTTTTCTGCATCTATTGAGATAATCGTGTGGTTTTTGTCTTTGATTCTGTTTATGTGATGGATTACGTTTATTGATTTGTGTATGTTGAACCAGCCTGGCTTCTCATTTTTAGGCACACAATCTTCTCTAGTATGTAGTAACTTTCTTTTTTTTTTTTTTTTTTTGAGACGGAGTCTCACTCTGTCGCCCAGGCTGGAGTGCAGTGGCTGGATCTCAGCTCACTGCAAGCTCTGCCTCCCGGGTTTCCGCCATTCTCCTGCCTCAGCCTCCCGAGTAGCTGGGACTATAGGCGCCCGCCACCTCGCCCGGCTAGTTTTTTGTATTTTTTTTTTAGTAGAGACGGGGTTTCACCATGTTAGCCAGGATGGTCTCGATCTCCTGACCTCATGATCCGCCCGTCTCGGCCTCCCAAAGTGCTGGGATTACAGGCTTGAGCCACCGCGCCCGGCCTGTAGTAACTTTCTTACAGGACCAGTCACAGTAAACTGACATAACTTTCACCACATGGGTGTGAGGACGCTAAAAGTAAACAAAAACAAGATGTACTTCTCTGTATTTCTATTGAAGACCACCTTACTTTAAAGGTATTTTTACTCTCTATAGCTACACTACACAAAGCTGCGACAGAAGTCATGCAACTTAAATGAAATAATGATGGAGATTAATTTAAAATAGTTAATGTCAAATAAGGCCATGTAACAGTTAAAAACAAGAGCTTTAAAATCAGAACCAGGTCTAAATCCCACCTACTCGCCATGTCATGTTAGGCTAATTATCAAATCCAAATCCTACTTCCTTTATCTGTAAAATGAGTATAATGCCGCTCATTTCCTAGGGTCAATGATTAAATCAGATAATGGATGTAAAGTGTTAGAATAGTTACTTGCACCTGATAAGCTACAGTTATGGAGGACACACAGTTATGTAGACAGACATACCTTCAAAACGTCATATAATTTAAATAGGTTATTTATGTCAACAACAGAGATTTTTATCACAAATGTACACTTTAGAGCTTTGAAGGGCTTCAAAACCCTCAGTACATTGTGCTGAGCAAAGCCTCAAATACAGGGGTAATACACAAGTGTTTGGAATTCATTTGGCCTATGCACTTTTAAATCTTCCAAACTAAACATACAGTGAATTAAAACACTTGATTCATATACTTCAAGTTCATTTTAATAATTAAACCTGCACTTACCTGTCACTGAAAATGCCAAATCCATAACCATATCATGGTGCCAATGTAAACATGTGTATGTATATTTCTTATCATCATAAAAATTCCTCCTATTGGAGAAAAACAAAACTCTTATTTTGACCATAGGTTTAAGTTAGGAAAATAATGGCATGTCAAATATAATAAACATAATATATAACCAAACATAATAAATCATAATATGAAGCCTTCTGGTCTTAGTGTGCACACTTTCTATTTCTAACCAGAGTGACTGACTTCCATAAATAATAAGCCATCTGTGGTACCCTCCTAGATATTCACTATTGTCAGTCTTTCCTTTTAGGATAAAGGCAAACAAAAAAAGTTTTCTTCCATAAATGATTATAGGCAACAATAAATTTTTCACTTGCTTTATAAGCCCAAGGCTAGAAATCCTGAAACAGTAAGTCTGAAATGAAAAGCACACAAAAAAGGAAAGGGAGGCTGTTTCCTTGGACTCAGAGATAGCCCTGTTCTACAGGGCTAACATAAAATAGTACATAAATGATCGCCATGCTCTTCATAAGTAAACTGACCAAAGACGAATTTTGCCATCCATGTGACCAGATGCGATGCAGTCTTCTGTTGGGTGACATGCTACACATGTAAAATTGTTCTTAGCATGCTTCTTATTTCTTGATGATGATAAAGTAAACCTAGGAAAAAAAAACAAATTCCCTTAATTATTAAAGTCTCTTGGTGAGTGGTGATGTAGTTAAGTAAAGCAGAGTTCCCAGCAATAGCAACCGAAATTGTAGAGCTCTGAATTCAATAAATATAACTGCAGGATTTTTTTTAAAAAGAAAATTTTGATCAAGAATCAAGCATGCTGTTTTGTAAATGTACATTAATATACAATATAAATTCATGTAACTAATATTCTACCATAATAATTTATCTATGGAAGCCACTGACATTTAAGTAAAGATTTTAGTGATTTTTTTTCGCCTAGGCAAAGCTTGTTCAAATTTCTCACTGAACCTACATTTTAGCATGAGGCAGAATCAAACCTGAGACATTAGATCTGAGACAATGGCTAATGCATCTGAAAGGACAAATAAAAAGGGATCAATCTACTTGTTATAATATCTAGCCTATTTCTTATTCTTTGGCTGAATACTTGTCAATCTTCAGGCTCTGAAGAAGTCAGGATCCTTATTATACTAAGAAGAAAGCAATCAGCCAGGCATGGTGGCTCACACCTGTAATCGCAGCACTTTGGGAGGCTAAGGCGGGTGGATCACCTGAGGTCAGGAATTCAAGACCAGCCTGACCAATATGGTGAAACCCGTCTCTATTAAAAATACAAAAATTTGCCTGGCCTGGTGGCAGACGCCTGAAGTACTAGCTACTCAGGAGGCTGTGACAGGATAATCACTTGAACCCAGGAGGCGGAGGTTGCAGTGAGCCAAGATCATGCCACTGCACCAGCCTGGGCGACAGAGCAAGACTCCATCTCAAAAAAATAAAAAAATTAAAAAAAAGAAAGCAATCTTGGCAAGGTAAAAGGGAAGAGGTAGTTATTACTTTCAAATAGTAACTACTCAATACTTAGCACTAGCTGCTCTAAATATGTCACCTTATTCATCATTACAACTCTGTTAGGTAGATATCTCCATTTCAAATATGTTTTAAATTGAGGTGCATTGGGGATCAAATAGACTAAATCCGATCCAATTAAAATTTACATATCCCAAAGCCTATATTCAGTCCTACATTCATAAAATGGCAATGAGAATCATGTGGTGAAACTCTGTCAAACTACATCCAACTCTGACTCCAAGAATGCAGACTAGAGTTTAGGTGTATAGGGCTTTTGGCTAGAAAAAGCTTCCTAGGTTTTCGTGACAGTATGGTTAAAAACGATACCTCTATACTTCACAGTCTTACACTCTCTTGTAATATAAAAGTAGGAATAGCTCTGGATTATAGGTACAAGGAAGAAATTATAATGAACCCTTGAGGAAATAAAATAAAGCTAATAAAAAATAATTCTTACCTTGATGTTGTTTTCTTTTTGAAAAAATAAACAGACAAGTAAAATTCCCGTACTGCAGCAACATATACTCCCTGGTATTTCAAAAAGAAGATAAACATTCATAAAAATAGTCAACGCTTTTTTTTTTTTTTTTTTTTGAGACAAAGTCTCGCTCTTATCCGCCAGGCTGGAGTGCAATGGCGCAATCTCGGCTCACTGCAACCTCCGCCTCCCGAGTTCAAGTGATTCTCCTGCCTCAGCCTCCCGAGTAGCTGGGATTACAGGTGCCTACTGCCACGCCTGGCTAATTTTTGTATTTTTAGTAGAGACCGGGTTTCACCATGTTGGCCAGGCTGATCTCGAACTCCTGACCTCAGGTGATCCACTCGCCTCAGCCTCCCAAAGTGCTGGGATTACAGGCATGAGTCACCACGCCAGCCTAACACTCTTTAAAAAGAAACATTCCCCCACGAAAGTTAACTGTAACTTTGTTCAGCTGATAAGGGTATATTAATATGATATCTTCTACTTTGGCTATAGAAAGAATAATCATACTATTAAAACAATGATAGAAAATTAAAAGATGAACTTAGGTCTTAAATCCTAAAACTAGACTCTCAAGCTTAAAGTACAATGATTAGAATTTTTTTCCATTAGGAATAATTTACATACACTAAAATGCAATGTTTGACATACATGTACATCTACATAACCACTGCCACAATCAGGATCTCGAACATTTCCTTCCTCAGAAATGCACCCCCCCCCTTTACAGTCATTCCTTAATGTCCTCACCCCACCTATCTGTTTCTATCGCCACAGCTTATTTCTCTGCTTGTTGTAGAATTTCACGTTCATGGAATGGTAAAATATACACTCTTTTGTGCTTGTCCTCTGTGGCTCAACATCATCCATCATCTTTCTGAATTTCACTCACATTTTCATGTGTGTTATTAGCTCCTTTTTACTGCTGAGCGGCATTCCACTGCATACATATCACATTTGTTTATTCTCTTGCTGAAGAACATTTGGGTTAATTTATATTTTGGAGCTACTATGAATAATCACTCTTGTACACATCATTTTGTGGTTATGTTTTCATTTCTTTCTATGTAGGAATGGAATCGCTAGGTAAATGGATCTAACTTTGTTCTATATCCTGTCAATATTAGTTATTCTAGTGGACCTAAAGTGGTACGTTGCTATGTTTTTAATTTGTATTTATTTGATGACTAACAATGCTGAAGAATGCTGACATTAATGATGTTAAAAAAGTTTACTCTGAGAAATTAACTCTTTTCAGAATAATGCCAGAATAATGCTACAAAACTTAAGACTAAAGAAACATGCTCCTATAGTGATGTCCGGAGGCTTTTCATAGCATTTGATTTTAAAATAGTAAAGTAACTGTTAACAGCGAATGGCTGAAGAAATCACAGTATAAACATCAGTTATTATTTATGAAAAACATGTTAGTATACACACATGCTGCAAAGTTCAGTGAAAAAAAAGATAAAAAGACTTCTGATCTTAATTCTTTTTGGGAAAAGCTATTTTAAGAATGTTAAGAAAAAAGCCTAGAAAGAGATTCTTCAATGATCACTAGTAAGATTATAGGTTTTATTTCCTCATTATATTTTTCTGTAGTTTCCAAATTTTCTATAATGGGCATATTAATTATGAACAGGGAGGCCATAATTTCTAAAGACACATAGTCTAAGAGAGTTTACCGAGGCAATAGGACAGAATACACAAAAATAAGGATAGTCCTAAAAAAATGTATACCATAAATACATGCTACAGCAATGAAGAGGCTTCTTAGTGACTAATAAAAATATAGTAATTCAAGGGAATATAAAAGCACTGTAACATAAAATGCTCAGAAGAGAGATTGCAGGAAAGAAATTTTAGGTACAAAACAGAAAACCAACAAAACAAAATTTACCTCGTTTCCAAAGGCAATGCACTTGGGTGACTGGTTTATGTAATCCAAAACAAAGGACAGCTCCTTGGCTTCTACTTCCTGGCTTGATGATTTTGGCAGTTTCACTGAAACCAGCTGAAATATATCTAGCCAAAGGAAGCTATATTAATATAAAGCTTCTCTAGAGAGCGCAAATGTGCATTTATTCATATGATTTTTTTTTTTTTTTGAGACGAAGTCTTGCTCTGTCACCCAGGCTGGAGTGCAGTGGCGTGATCTTGGCTCACTGCAACCTCTGCCTCCCAGGTTCAAGCAATTCTCTTGGCTCAGTCTCCTGAGTAGCTGGGACTACAGGCCTGTGCCACCACGCTTGGCTAATTTTTGTATTTTTAGTAGAGATGGGGTTTCACCATGTTGGCCAGGCTGGTCTCGAACTCCTGACCTCAAGTGATCCACCTGTCTTGCCTCCCAAATTGCTGCGATTATAAGCGTGAGCCACTGTGCCTGGCCCTATGAAACTGCTAATCAGTACTCTAGAATGTATTTGATGCCAAGATAATAATTCTAGGCTAATCTTGAACAAAATATATCTTAAAGTTGGACTCTTTGTTTGAATGAACAAGTTTTAAATGGAAGTCTAATTCCATAACTCATGTACATAAATGCCCCAAATATATAGAAATAGAAATCAACTTGTGTCTTACTGGTGCATTGTACATTCCAAAGTATTAAGCTGAGTGTTAAAACGGAAAAAGAATATGAATGTTGGTGACCTGAGTAACCAAATGCAACAAACCATCTGAGAGTTTTCAGAAATGCTATCATGGGCCTGCCATAATATTTATAGGGTAAAATCTCCTTTCTTGTAATACGGACAAATTCTTCTCTTTATATCCCTTTAAAAAGTATCTCCTTAAGGGTATTCTTTTTACTCACAGTAAAAGCAAAAGTCCTTCCAATAGCCTATGATGCTAAATATAATCTATTCTTCACTGGCTCACTCCCGCCCGCCTCCCTTCTCCAATACAGCTGCACAGCTCTTCTTCTCTTATTTAATATTTATTCCTCCTATGTTGCCCATTTCCGCCCCCTGCTTTATTTTTCTCTAGACCACCTTTCATCTTACTGTATCATATTAACTGATCCAGTCAGTTTACTGCTGGGACTTAGAAGTGTTTTGTTTTGTGCAACCATAACAGTATTCAGCACACGGTGGGTGCTCAATTAGGTGGTGAATGACTATATGACACATAGTCAAGAAATAATACCATCAAAAATAACATGTAAACAGGAGCCTAATTTGTTTTTAAATCAGGTAAGTAACTGCAATATGATTTTCAGAGACTCTGCTTTTGGGCTGTGGAACACAGATAACACAAAAAGGGTACACATATATGTATATGTTTTTGTATTTGAGTATGAGAGGCCCGTGGTACAGTAAGTAAGCCATAAGCACAGGGGATCTTTTCAAGACTGACTCACATTTTTATGTAGCAGCTATCCAGATTTTCATATGCTGGCTGCCCATTATATGCCAAGTACTGAAGACTAATAATAGATCTCATTATGAGAAGAATTTAGATTACAACACAGGATCTTTACTTTAGATCAGTAGTTTTCCACCCTGTCTTGCATATTAGACACAACTGAGAACTTTTTCAGTAAACTAGGCCCCAGCACACAGAAACTTACTAAGTTCTTCATGTTATGTGCAGTCAGTGTTTCGCATCATGGCTAAAAAGTTTTGCTACAGCTATTGGCAACTACTTTTCCAACTGAGGAATTATGGAGTGAGTATAGGAAGTTGCTAAGAAATATGAGTGATGAGCAGAATCACCTGGGATGATATTAAGAATGCAGATTCCTAAAGTACATCCCAAACCTAGTGATCAACTGCTCATCAGGAAGATTAGGAATCTGAATTTTTCGTAAACATGTGAACTGTTATCAGGAATCCATGTATTCAATATACAAAATCGAACTTAAATATCAAAAAAAGTGCTATGTTTGAAGTAGTCATCTGGCAAGATGACTGAATTATTTTTAAGAACGTTGCCATCTCCAGAACATTTTTTGAAATGTCCTTTGGAGGTGGTTTAGTGATCCTCCCACCTCAGCCTCCTGAGTACACAGGACTATAGCCACCATATCTAACTTACTTTTCTTTCTTTTTTTTTCTTTTCAGAGACAGGGTCATGGTATATAGTGCCTAGGCTGGTCTCAAACTCCTGACCTCAAGCAATCCTCCTGCCCTGGCCTCCCAAAAAAGTGCTGGGATTACAGTTGTCAGCCATCATGCCCAGCCCCACTATCATCTTAAAGCTGCTTCATATTCTTCATTCTGAACACAACTGTATTTTATAGAGGACACCACAGGATACAGTAGCATTCTTGAATCTGGGGATCAGAAAATTTCTTTAGATGTGACCTCATGTCAGTGTTCTGTTTCATTGAATTCTATGATAAAGGACAATTATTTGTAATCACTGACAATATTCTAGGAATTCCTAAAATGCTGATGCACAGCAGTTTCAATGGAGTAATGTTCCAAAGACAGTGAAAATGTAATTAATAATAACTGAGTCACATTATTGGTTCTTAATATCAACCAATTTTTTTTTTTTTTTTTGAGACAGAGTCTCGCTCTGTCACCTAGGCTGGAGTGCAGTGGCGCTATCTCGACTCACTGCAAGATCCACCTCCTGAGTTCACGCCATTCTCCTGCCTCAGCCTCCTGAATAGCTGGGACTGCAGGTGCCCAACACCACGCCTGGCTAACTTTTTGTATTTTGTTTAGTAGAGATGGGGTTTCACCGTGTTAGCCAGGATGGTCCAGATCTCCTGACCTTGTGATCTACCCACCTCGGCCTCCCAAAGTGCTGGGATTACAGGTGTGAGCCACCTCGTCTGGCCAATATCAACCAATTTTCTATGCCATTTCCACCCTGACTCAAAAGAGTAAGAAGTGTTCAATGATGGATAAAATGATAGTGATGCTTAAGAATAACAGATTTAAGTTCAGTAGAAAGACAAATTCTATCCATCTTTGTAAAGCAGATTTAAAATTTGAGGTCTGCAGTCTGCTATTGCAACTACATATAAAATAATCCTTCCCTCACTGCATATTTCAGAACTTATACAAAGCCTCTCCAAATGAACACAATAATGACAAAAGCAATTTAAATGCCCATTCTAAAAACTGTTAGCTTCAGATTAAAACCAAAATGTTAAATTTTGAGAAACTGTAAAATGTAAAGAGCCACTCAGTGCCATACATAGTAAGTTAATTACACCATACCTGGTTTTTCTTTATTTACTATAGCAAAGACAGAATCCTCAGCTTGGGCAACAGTAAAGAGGGCATGAAGTTTACATCCAACTGTGAAAGTCTGAAAGATAAAGAGCACCATAGTGTTTACTGTCTGTTCCCTCCAGTAGAACATAAAATCCATTAAGGCAGGGATTTTTACCTATTTTGCTCATTGCTGTATTCCCAACATAAGGAGAGTACCTGGCCTATAGAAGACAACTGATACATATTTGTTAAATACCCTTTCAAGTTTCCTACATATAGATCTGATTCTTTTTAATGGTTTTATGGTATTGTATTGAATGTATCATAATTTTAACTGATTTCAAGGTCATATTTAACTTTTTTCCTACCATAAACAATGCTATAAGGCCTTTGTGTACAGGCCATTATTTCAACAAGAGATTCTTAGAAGTGAGACTGCTGTAGCAAAACGTGTTTATTGATTTTCAGTTTTAACTCTCATTGTGTACAAAAGTGCCTGTTTCTCTATACTTTACCTATCACTAGATTTTTTTCAGTCTACAATTTGGCTAAATTTATGAGGGGAAATATTGTGTCATTTGTCTTAGATTTCTTTATTAATGAGTTTAAGCAGCTCTTCATATTTATTGGCTAATTGTATTTCTTTTCTGTGAATTCACATATTCCTACTTTATGCCAATTTCTTCTACCAGGCTTTTAGTTTTTCCTTATTGGTTTTTGGGAATATTTTTGTATATGTGGAATAGTATCTTTTGTAAATATCTTCTCCCAGCTTTAACTTGTCTTTTACAAGTGGAAAATTTTTATATAGTCAAATTAATTTTTTTGATGCTATTTTGTAACTTGTTTAGGAAGTCTATTTAAATATTTGGCCTTATAGAAAGAAACAGTACATCTACCATTAAATTACACTGCCTTTTTTTTTCACATAAGGAAAAGTAAAGATCAATCCACATACCTTTATTAAGATGCCATCTATATAGTCCCACAGTTTAATTGTGCCATCAAGGGAAGAAGAATATAGCTAAAAGGGTAAAACAATACAAAATTGATTAAAAAAAAGAAATTCATCAATATATCAAATGAATAATTAAACGCTGATGGGGCATTTTCTATTCATTAATTCACGGTTAATCTTAAAGAGGTAGAGTCATTTATTTACATTGCTTCTGCAAAACAATCTTTTCACAGCTTTCTGCAAGAAGCAGATCCATCCTTTTCAAGTTTTAACTAAAAGAGAGAGGAAAAAAGTCGACATTCTATCTTGAAGAGGGAGATGTTAAGGTTTTGAATGAGATATGAAAAGTACCTAGGTGCAGTGGCTCCCATCTGTAATCTCAGCACTTTGGGAGGCTCAGGCAGGTGCATCACTTGAGGCCAAGAGTTCGAGATCAGCCTGGCCAACATGGTGAAACCCATCTCTAGTGAAAATACAAAAATTAGCCAGGCGTGGTGGCACATCCTGTAATCCTAGCTACTCGGGAGGCTGAGGTTGCAGTGAGCTGAGATCACATTGTTATACTCCAGCCTGGGAGACTGAGACTCTCCAAAAAAAAAAAAAAAAAACCAAAAAAAACCCAAAAACACACACACACAAGAGCTTGTTGCTCTTCCTGCCAAAACTCAGTTTACTCAGTTTTATCAGCCAAACTCCTTTCACCTTATATGAATATTAAGGGAGTGCTTCTCAAGTGACTGAAGAATATTCTGCTTAAAAAAAATTTCTTCCAATCCATCAAGGACCAATACTTTCATAAAATACAATAGAAATTATAATACACTTGGATGCTATGGCAATGTCAAAGTGTTTTGTGACACTCACTTTCTGTACTCTTATACAGAATGGTAACTAATGGTTTAGGACACTGGTCTGTGGACCATACTTTGGTAGTACCGGAAGACCTTACTAACACATAGGTTTACTTTTGTTCTAGTGTACTTAGTTTTAATAATACTGAGTTTCCACTAGATTTTTTTTTTGTTGTTGTTATAGGAAAATACTTTGCTTATAATGTTGACAAAGAATTTTAATATTTTTAAAGAAAGCGGCAATTTTAGGATATCTGCAAATAGAGACATGGACTCAAAGAAGAGAAATGTAAAAATGTTGGAGTAAAACCATGTTATCTATCCAAGTCAAAAAATTATAGTAACTAGGAAATTTATATCACAATTACTGCATATCAGAATCATAAATATGGACTAGTAGAATGTAACAAGTCAAACATATAATTACTGTCAAAACGATGGTTAATACACAAATACTGTGAGTCCTAAGTCCAGAACTGCTGCCCCTGCACCTCAACTGCCCTTCTCTAATTTTATTCACTTTTAGTCACCTGAAACAAAGATTTTATGCAATGTGTCTACATTTTTTTTTTGCTATAAAACTTAGTATATGGACTTCACAAATTTCAATTTTAACAAAACAATAGTTTTGCTATTGAAAACATTCAAATACCACACATAGTGATAAACTTTTGTCAAACCCTCAGAGGATGGCAAGGATAAAATATGTACTTGGGTCCTGCAGGAAAGTTACCTAACTTTGATTTTTAGGAGTAGCTCATTTAATTTCGGAAAGAAAAGATCGGTGCTAGTTTATTTCCTTTGGAATAAGAGTATATGGCAATGCAAATCCATCCTTGATCAGTAATTTCCAAGTTGGCTGTGACTAATCCAGGAAAATGGAATTGGATTAAAAATAAGAACAAGAACAAAATATTGTTGAGATAAAATTTTAGTAGATTTGCTGAAACTTAAGAACAGAATTAAAATGACCATTTCATTATTCTTAAATACGGAGAAAGAAGGGCTGCTTTGTGGGGGAAGTGGGAAAATCTGCGCTAAATTAAATTCCCAAATTTGTCTTGAAACTAACTAATTGACCCACTCACCAAATAAATTTTCTTATCTAGATACCGGTATTAAGACTAGGCAATATCTAGAGTAAGCCAGAGCCTCACTTCTAAAGGAACAGATCTACCAAATCAATACCTCCTGGCCCACATTTTAAAAAATGTGTTCTAGAAACCAAACGGTTCACAAGTCAAGTAAGTTTGAGAAACACCAAATACTACATACCCCTTTTGGACATTCACAATGCATGTAAGGGAACCTAAGAAGACCTACAATCAATAAATACATTTACCTGTGCCAAGCCCTTCATTTCAGAAACTCATACAGCCAAGAATATCCTTCTCAAGTAACACTTATTAGCATTCTGTGGAACAAATGATTCACAGAATACGCTATAGGCAATGTAGTTTAGTAAGTGAAAAATACCCTACAACTGAAAATAAATATTTTGCTTATAACCTGGAAAGTTTCCCAGCCAAATTCAACTCGAATTTTTCTGTAAAGAACAAAGCCAATCTTAAAGTATTCAGCTATAACTGTATGACACCTGTAGATGGTTGTTGGGGTTAAGTTGGATTCCAGTCACCAGATTTCTGTGTCCATGTAGTATGTGTACACACTCTTCTGTAACTGTGCTGTAAACTTTAACAAAGTCTCCAGAGACACAGAAGATATACCTGGAAAAAAAAGAAAGAAAAGTAAGTTTTACATACTGTATTAGTCTGTTTTCACACTGGTGAAAAACACATTTTTCATCATTGTTTCAGTGGTCTTGAACTCCCAGCCTCAAGTGATGCACCTGCCTGGGCCTCCCAAAATGCTGAGATTACAGGTGGGAGCCATTGTACCTGGTGCTTTTCATACTTCATTCAAAACCTTACCATCTCCTTCTTCAAATTTATAAAGGAAAGAGATTTAATGGATTCGCAGTTCCACGTGGCTGGGGAGGCTTCACAATCATGGTGGAAGCAAAAAGCATGTCTTACATGGTAGCAGGCAAAAACAGAACTTGTGCAGGGGAGCTCCCCTTTATAAATCCATCAGCTCTCGTGAGACTGATTCACTACCACAAGAGCAGTATAGGGGAAACTGCCTCCATGATTCAGTTATCTCCAACTGGGTCCCTCCCACAACACGTGGAGATTATGGGAGCTACAATTCAAAATAAGATTTGGGTGGGGACACAGCCAAACCATATCACATACTCGACAGGTAGTAGGATCTTTTTACTGTCCATGATAAAAATGCAACAGAAGTTTCTTTTGGTATAGTTTAAGAATTGTGGCCAGGCGCGGTGGCTCAAGCCTGTAATCCCAGCACTTCGGGAGGCCGAGACGGGCGGATCACGAGGTCAGGACATCGAGACCATCCTGGCTAATACAGTGAAACCCCATCTCTACTAAAAAATACAAAAAACTAGCCGGGCGAGGTGGCGGGTGCCTGTAGTCCCAGCTACTCGGGAGGCTGAGGCAGGAGAATGGCGTAAACCTGGGAGGCGGAGCTTGCAGTGAGCTGAGATCCGGCCACTGCACTCCAATCTGGGGACAGAGCGAGACTCCGTCTTAAAAAAAAAAAAAAATTGTATACTCAAATTTGTGTGCCTTTTGTCTATGGGGACATCTATGACCAATCAGTTCATTAACTCAGAAGAGATTATTAACTCAGAAAAGATTAATGACGCCAATGTCATATCTCTTGCCTGTTTGTAGACAGAGGCTATAAATGGAATTATCCTGCAAAAACAGCCAACTTAACCAAGTTGCCTGCTCATTCAATGGATGCAGACAGTGTGCTAGTCACTATCAACTATTATTCTTCAATAGTACTGCCAACAGCAGTGTTTTTCCATGTCCCCAACCTCTCCATGGTTCACTGGCAACACCAGCTTACAAATGCTAAGTCAAAGGTTCTGCTCCAGTTGGTGAGGTCTGGGCCTTTTGTACAGAAAAATACAAAGACTTTATTCCATTTTTTTTCTTGTTGCTGAAATGCTGGCTTTGCTTTGTCTTTCTGGATTTGTGGATTTCTTCCATGTAGTAGCAGCTACTAAATTACTAAAAGTGGTTAAGTTGGGGGCACTATTTGACTTTCATGATATCATCACAGAACAAGGCTCTGAAATATAAATCTTCTTGTATCTTCCAAGTAAAAAATATTTGCTCCGTGCCTATTATATCTATAGCAGTACTCTTATTTATGGTTTCACTTTCCCTGGTTTTAATTACCTACAGTCAAGATCAATCTGAAAATATTAAATAGAAAATTCCAGAAACAATTCCTAATTTTAAAATTTTATGCCATTCTCAGTAGTGATGAATTCCCCTTGTCTCACCTGAGATATGAATCATTCCTTTTTCCAGCATTCTCTGCTGTAGACACACCTGCCAGTTAGTCACGTAGAAACTGTCTAGGTTATCCTATCCACTATTGCTGTACTGTAGCACTTATGTTCAAGTAACCCTTATTTTACTTAATAATGGCCCCAAAGTGTAAGAGTAATGATGCTGACATACTGTTATAATTGTTCTATTTTACTAGTTATTGATGTTAATCTCTGTGCCTAATTTATAACTTAAAATTTATCATAAGTATATATGTATAGGAAAACATATAGTATATATAGCGTTTGGTAGTACCTGTGGTTCTAGGCATCTACTAAGGGTCCTGGAACATATCCTCTGTGGACAAGGGAGGGCCACTGTATTACAACACACTAAGAGTAAATCTGTTGCAAACTGGGACCACTACTATCCTATTTTATCAGTTCAAGATATTTGATTTTCACATGTTCATCTCTTGGAAATTAGGATGCATCTTATAATCCATGGAACCTTGTAAGTGCTGTCAGCCAGGAGGCATGGTTGTATGAAATGGTATAAGATCAAGAATGTATGAGCAACAAAGCATTTACATAACCTCCCCTTTGGCTGCAGCCTCTTCTCCATTCCCATGAGTACTTCACTTCAGAGGCTTAACATCTCCAGCGTGGACCACTCTTCAGGGCTTCCTACAGTCTCCAGGTACAGTCCTTCAATGCAGCTTTGACAGTCACACCAGACTAATTTTGCAAATTTGACCATATCACTTCCTCAGATAAAGTTAAAATCCTTTAATGTTTTCCCTCTGCCTTTAGGAAATGATCCAATTTCTTAAGGCTTTGGTAGTCTGATCCCAGTCTAACCTGAACTACTTTTTCACTTAACATTTTGCTCTATTAAAATAGTTCATAACTCCAACAATTTCCCCCATCCCCCAGACACACCCTATCAATATGAAAGAAGTCGTTTAGATATGGCTTCCTTGAGACAGTGGTGGGTAGGGGGCTACTGCTGGCCAAGAAAACTTTCCCTAATTGCTTCTGATAAGCTCCCTCAGAAAAAAGGAATGTCTTCTCTTCTGGTTTCTCAGCAAAGAACAATGGTTTCAATTACTTAAGTGCAATCCTTCAAAGTCAACTTTCTCTCCATGATTTTGCACTCTCTGGTATCTACATAGAACACGTTTTCTAACTTTTTTTTTATTTCCTAAGAGTAAGCTTTTTATTTTTCAACTTTTAATTTTGAAATCATTTTAGATTTACAGAAGAACTACAGAGTTCCTATATACACTTCACCTAGCTTCCACAAATGTTAGCACTTTACATAAGCACAGTACATTAGTCAAAACTAAGATATTAACATTGGTACATGACTATTAACTACATAATTTATGAGTTCTTCACTTTTTCCATTAATGTCTTTTTTATGTTCCTAGAATCCAATCCAGTATACCACATTAGTTGTCATATCTTCTCAGAACCTTCCAATCAGTGAGTTTTTCAGTCTTTCCCATTTCTCAGAACTCTTGACTACTGCTTTAAGATTCACCTCAGAATTTTCTCCCGGAAGCCCTTCCTCATCTTCCCATTCTAGATCAGCACCAGTCCTAATGTGCTTCTACACAACGGTGGGCTTAGCTCCATGACTGAACTTACCACAAGGCATTAAGACTGTGTACTATGTTTCTCCTCTACCAGACTGTGAGTTCTTTGAGGTGAGACACTGTGTTTTCACTTATTAGAAACAATAATAAGTCAAACACAAATGGATTCGAATGCCAGCTTTATTATGTATTAGCTGAATGACGATGGAGAATTTAAACTTCACATCTCCACTTAGTTATCCATTGTAAAATGCAAATAACACTTCTCATAGAGTTTAAGTGAAACAATGCATGCAAATGCAAGCTTAGCATACACAGTAAGCACTCACTAAATAGGGATAATACCTTAACCTTGTAGACTGGAAGGTGTGTAATGCACCCACCACAACACCTGTCACATAGGATTCATTTTGAGAAAGTGAAGAAGTAAGAAATTAGGGATGTTTCAAGTCAGAACCAGGATTTAAACTGGACTCTGAAGAATGTATGATTTAAGGGGTGGGAAGAAAAAAACAGCAACATAAGCAAAAGCAAGGAAATAGTATGATTATGTACAAGACACAGATAATGTACTTATCTGACAAGCAAAGTGTCTATAATCGGTAGTTTCAGGAAACAGTTGGGTAAGAAGAGTTGAGCTATATTAGAGAAGGGAATGAAAGCCACATAAAGGAGCTATAGTTGAGGCAACAAAAAACTGTTACAAAGTTCTGAGCAAGACTAGGAATAAGAGTTAGAGTAAAAATGTTATAACAGTAACAACTTAGGAAAATTGTTACAGCAGCAATACTTAGAATGATCTGTAAGGGAAAAATAGTGAGTTTGGGACATTAGCTTGTGGGTAGTTTAGGAAAGTGAAAGGCAAGGATGACTCACTGTTTCAGTTTTCTCTATCCTAACAACCCCAGTGCAATAATTCATAGCACCATATAACTGCGGGATGCCGCAGAATGGGATGCAAACAGAACTGGACTGTGAGTCAGTAATACCTAATACGGAACACCAGGAACTTACATGTATACCCACATGCCCCTCAGAACAACCCACTCAAGTACCCAGAACAGAGTTTTTGTTTTAGTTTCAAGAGGAAGCTGCCAAAATTCCACAAGTCTGTCGTTTTATGATTTTGGCTTTCTTGATAAGCACCTTGAGGTAAAATGCAAAATTATTCCTCTTTGTATAAGGCAGTCAACCCATTGTGGTACCTTGTAGATAATATTCAAATCTTTGCTGAGTTCATTATAATCCTGTTCATTTGTTCGAGAAATGGTTTTAATTATCAGCTTATATATAAATGACAAAAAAAAAGAAAAAAAAAGAAAAAAAAACCAACCTCTAAATCTTGACCAAGTTCCCCAAACTTCAGTCCTGAATTTCTACCTACTACTAGCTATATCCATCTGTTTTACAGGTACCTTAGAGTTAATAACCCTGAACTGAACTCTATCTTCCCATTAACACTGACTGTGAAATCACTCTAAAACCCTGTCTCTTTTTTCCATGTTCAGTATTACCTTAGTTTGGGCAAGAGTGATTTCTTGCTTGGATGCCAGCACTGGCTAACCCCTGGTCTCTATTCTTTCAGAGTCTGTTCTTGCCATCTCTTATACCCTATGCTGCAATTACACTGACTTTACACAGAAGGCTCAATCCCCCTAGTTTTCAAGGCCCCCAGATTTCAAGCTTGTTTGCCTGGCATTCCACCCCCCAGTATCACTGGCGAGGCAAACTCTTGCCATTGCTGCAAGATCCACTACTGAAGGGAAAACTGACTATGTAACTCCCTCTTCTATGCCATCAGTGTACTTTGGGTACACCAGCCTACCCAGCTTTCATTTCTCCACTCACCAACATGTATCATAGTTTCACAGTTTTCAGGTTAACATTATTGAAGAAACACAATCAAATTACAACTGATTACTGCTGTCCCCTTAAAGAATTAAAAAACCATTCTCTTTGGTCCAAACAACAACCAACAACTGGCTGCACGTGTCCTTTCCAACCTCATTTCCCACTATCTCCCTTATATATCATTCTCACTAGCTAACTGTACCAGCCTGTTCAACAGATATCATTTCTGTCTGTCTTGCTTACACTGTCCTCCCCACCTGAAATGTCTTCTGTCCATATTCCACACTTAAAATATCATCTAGGCCTAGCACAAATGTCACTTGCTCAGCAGCCTTCTCCATCCTTCTTAGTTTGGGAAGTAATCTCTTCTTATGGGCTCCTTCCTACAGGACCAAAGTAAGAAAAATCTGTTACTGAGTATTCCTTTTCCTCACTAGACTGTAAACTCCTCGAAGGCAGGATCAATATTAAAATTATCTTAGTTTTTGTCATTGCAGCATGTTACACATAATACATAGTTGACAAATACTTAAAAAATGAATTGTTGGGCTTAGCAAATGAAACACATAATGGACCTCATTATAATGAATAAGGTATAGAAACAGTACACTGAAGAAACTGGTTACATGGATATGAGTCCGAAGTGTCAAGAGTGTGAGCCTCTAAAAGTCTGTTTCTTCCTTTGATTCATAAGATCAATGTAAACAAAGCCTAAGGACTCAATTTTTTTTTTTTTTTTGGGCTTCTAAGGCAATTTATGAAAGCTCTTTCAGTCATGCATGCATTGCCTTCAACAACTACCTGTCATACACTCATATGCAGAATATTGTGGGGGTGACCGGGCACGGTTGCTCACTGTAATCGCCGCACTTTGGGAGGTTCAGGTGGACAGATCACTTGAGGCCAGGAGTTCCAGGGCAGCCTGGCCAACATGGCGAAACCCTCTCTCTACTAAAAATATAAAACTTAGCTGGTGTCGTGGCCCGCGCTTATAATACTTGCTACTTGGGAGGCCGAGGCACTAGAATTGCTTGAACCAGGGAGACGGAGGTTGTAATGAGCCTAGATTGAGCCACTGCACTCCAGCTTGGGTGACAGAGTGAGACTCTGTATCCAGGAAAAAAAAAAAAAAAAAAAGAATATTGTGGAGGCTACAAACTTTCATAAAATACTATCTCTACTCTTCTAAGACAGAAAGGGTTTTTTGATTTTTATTAAGTGTCACTCTACCTAAAGTTATTTGAAAACCTGACAATACAGTAATAATGATTACAGCTACATACATTGAGCCATTATATGCTGGGCATTGCTGTCTGTAGTTTTAACACATTGAGGCATTTGATCCTCCCAATAACCGTGTGAGATGAACTAAATATTATCCCCCTTTTACAGATGATGGCAACTGAGGCAAATATTAAAAAACTTACAAAGATTTCATAAGGTAAGAAGTGGATTTTGAAGCCAGGGAATGGTTTGGTTTCCAGCTACACTGAGAAAAAAGACCAAGTCTTAGCGTATTTTTTTACCTCATAAAGATCTACCATCTGTTTTCACGTAAAGTTCCAAAAAGACTGCACTATGCTCTATGCTTCAGGGGTGAGGAGTGGATTAAAAAAGCCTAATATTTTTAGGTTTTAGTCACTCCAAAACATGATTCTGTACGAAAGAGTAGGTACTGCAAAAGTAGTGGCATACACATCCACGCATGGACCATTTTCCAGCCGCCCGAGCACCTTCCAGATCCTCGACACGGAGACCGGCTCCAGGGCCTTTCAATCTACCTGCAGGTAAACTGTCCAGGAATCGGGGGGCGCACCCCAACCTGCAGTACTAACCGGACCTCCCGGGTACCCTGGGGATCCCCCACACGCGCGTGCTCTACCCAAAGCCCATATCCGCCAGGCTGGCGAGTCCGAACGCGACTCACAGTTCCTTCTCCCCGACCCTCGAGAAACTCACGCCCCGCCCCTCAGCCGACAAAGCGCGGTGCCCCTCATACTTAGAATCTGCAGAGAACACAGCTCTCCTAAAGTTCAACTCGCTGCCGCCACAACGAACCACGCGGATGTTCTCCTCTTCCACCATCTTTGCGCAGTCGCAGAATGACCAATCGCCGGTACCGCCCTGAACTTCCTATATTGAGCCGGGTGTAACACGGCTGTTCCCAGCCCACAGAACCCACCCACGGGCCCTTCTAGACCTGAGACTCCGTGGTTCCGTGCAGCCATCTTTTGTGTGGGCAATGCCAAACTAAGACTCGGCTTCCGTGCAGCCATCTTTTGTGTGGGCAATGCCAAACTAAGACACTTGTAAGAAAAGATGAAAGCAAAACAGAGACTTAGAGAGAATCAGTGTTTTATTATATACCTATACACAATTATTTAATACAGACATATTTCTCTCAAGCCTTGTCAACCTGACTCTATGGCTTTTTCTGCCAGAAGGGAAAGGTGGTGCACAATGTACCACGTGACCTCCAGTAGTCTCATCGGAGGCGTCACTTTCTGGTGTCTGTGATCTCGGCGCTGCAGGATGACGCGAGCCTCTCGCGTCCCTGGTTTTGTTGGTCGCCGCGTTGCGTTATTGGGTGGAAAGGTAGCTTTCTCCTCCTTGTACAGCTTTTTGTTCCTCTCATTAACCATTCTTCTGTTCTTGTGAGCATCGCTTAGGTTCCTACAGAATCTCCACAGTCCTAGGGCCTAGCTTTCTTCCTTTGGAAATCTGGCTCCTACTGCGGTATTCTGGTGCATCTTCCCCAGCGTTCAGTGTAGCTGCTCGGGCTAATCTGACATTCGGCCAGTCCCGCCAGGTTTCAGGGCGCTGCTCTCTGGTTTCCTGGGTTTTACCTTTTCCCATTAGTGGATAGAGCCTGTGGGTTAGGAACCCCTAAAATCCGAAGATGTTTATTTTTGCCAGTTTGTCTCCAGTTTTCCTTTGTAAAGTTACACGTATCATATTCTTGGACCCTGTATATCATGTTGCCTATTTTGATTTCGCTTCTTGATTTGTTGATTTACCACAAAATTACCAAAGTCACAAGTATAGTCACATGCCACGTAAGGATCTTTCAGTCAGTGCATGTAACATAGTGATTCCTTAAGATTGTAATACTATGTTTTTACTGTACCTTTTATGTATTTTAATACATCAATACTATTAACAGAATAGTATTGGTGTATTATGGCCGGGCGTGGTGGCTCACGCCTGTAATCCCAGCACTTTGGGAGGTCGAGACAGGGGGATCACGAGGTCAGAAGATCGAGACCACAGTGAAACCCCGTCTCTACTAAAAATACAAAAAATTGGCCGGGCGCAGTGGCGGGCGCCTGTAGTCCCAACTACTCTGGAGGTTGAGGCAGGAGAATGGCGCTATCCCGGGAGGCGGAGCTTGCAGTGAGCAGAGATCATGCCACTGCACTCCAGCCTGGGCAACAGAGTGAGACTCCGTCTCAAAAAAAAAAAAAAAAAAAAAAAAAAAAAAAAAGAAAAGTATTGGTGTATTTAAATAATACAATTGTGTTAATAATACAATTGCCTGTAATATTGAGTATAGTAACATGTTGTTCAGATTTGTAGCCTAGAAGCAATCAGCTATAAGGTATAGCCTAGGTGTGTAGTAGGCTGTACCATCTAGGTTTGTGTAGGTACACTCTATAATATTCACGCAATGATGAAATCACCTAACATGCATTTCTTAGAGCATATCCCCATCATTAAGCCACACATGATTATACCCATAAGTTTATTTATTGTGGAGAAATACAGTGTCCACGAAGGTCAAGACATCCTGGGACAGCACCACTGTAAAAATCAGGGATAAATTTACTTTTTAACTGAGAAGTCTAGCTTATTAAAGGGCTCAAAACTTTATTATTTGGGGAGCCAGAACTAGAAAGAGAGATATTTAATAATTTTGGTTTATCTCAAGCTGTAACGAGCTTTCTCTTTCATGACTGTGATACCCTTTGTCACAGTGGATGAAGCGTAAAAATACCACTTTTGATTCTGCAGCCTTAATCTCTTTTTGTTCAGTCTCTTGATGTCTGCACAGTAAATCTTTTAAAGACTCGGTTGGTACTTTGTAACCTGATACAGGCTTTTCCTTAGGGCCTGAGCCAAGAAACAAAATAAATATTTTCACTCAAATTAGTGTGACTTTAGTTGTATGTTACTGTATGGTAACTTTAGATTTTTCAGAAAAGAATCAGAAATCCTGATATGGACAAAAACTAGCTGGATTGATAAACCTATAGGAGGATTATTTTACACAGGGTTTTAATTTACCCAAGTGCCCAGAAAGATAAGTCATTTGTATTTTGATTTCTTTTTACATAATTTTTAAGGAACCAATGCCATTTAATTAATACTGCCTTGTCTTTATCATATAATAAGAAGGCTGAGGTATGCAGAATAGGGCTACTGTAGTGGTTCATTCATGCCACCAGGGACCTATGCTTTCTCTACTTTGTTCTTTCCATTTACTGTCCTTAACTATATTGGTTTTGTCCTTATGCTCACAGTTCATGTTCCTTTCAGTTAGAAGAAATAAGGGAATAGCAAGAAAGAGCATAACCTATATACAGAAGAAAAAGGATTTTCCACAAACATTTATTTTGCCTCTTCCATCCAGGAGATATTTACTAAGTGCCTAGATATGCCAGACATTCTTTCAGGCTCTGGGAATACTGGAGTGAGAAAAATAGTAAACAAAATCCGTGTCTTACTGGACCTTACCTTACCATGGGAAGAAACAAAAACTTACTATACTTTTGATGTCTTTATGTGCCAAGGGGAAACTCAAAGTAGAAAAGAAAGTGAGTATAAGGGTTTGATTGCATTTACAATGGGTTTTCAGGGAAAGCCTTACTGAGAAGATAACATTTGAAATGACCTGAAAAGGTTGAGAGCGTGAATAAGCCTGGAGCTGTTTGGTGAAAGAGTCAGCCAGAGGCAAGAGTATTCCTTTCCATGTTCGAGATAAGGCAAGAGGCCAGTGTGGCTGGAGAATAATCATCAAAGGGGTATAGTAAAAGATAGGGTCAGAGAGTTAATAAGAGGCCAGTTCATAGGGTCTCCTAGATGATTGTAACAGCTTTGGGTTTTATGAAGACAGTGTGGCCTTTGTGTTAAAAAGTGAAATGATTAGGCTAATTTAAAAAATACAATACAATAAAATAAAATAAAATCTGCTTTCTTTGATATCTATAATGCACAAATTATTGTATCCACCATCACAAATAGGATACAGAAGAATTCCAACACCCAAAGAATTCCCTAGTGCTTCTCCTTCGCTCCCCAAGACCTATCCCCTGGCAACCACTAATATGTTCTCCATCCATAGAGTTTTGCCTTTTCCAGAAAGCCGTATATAAATGGGATCATATAGTACATAACATTTTCAGTCTAGCTTCTTTCACTTAGCATATTGCATTTATGTTATGTGCATCAGTGCTTTATATTGCTGAGTGGTATTCCATTGTATGGCGATTTCACAGTTTATTTGTTGAATGTGTGTAATTTACCCCCCAATTTTAGAAATTATGAATAATACATCTCTAAACATTCATATGTAGGTTTATGTGTGAACATAAGCTTTTTGTTGCTCTAGGATAAATACCAGCAAATGGGATTGCTCAAGTCATAAGTGTATGTTTATTTAAGAAATTGCCAAACTGTTTTTTCCCCCAGAGTTACTGTACTATTTTTGCATTTCCATAAGTAATGTGTGAAAGTTGTAGTTACTTTACACCCTTGTCAGGGCTTGGTATTATCAAGCTTTGTAAATTTTATTTTAGCCATCATAATAAGTTTGTAGTGGTATTTCATTGTGGTTTTAATTTTCACTTCCCTAATGACTAATGCTGAGCATCATTTTATATCCTCTTTGGTGAAGTGTCATCAAGGCCTTCACCCATTGCTTTATTGGTTATCTTCTTCTTGCTGAGTTTTGAGCATTCTCTTTTAAACTTTATTTATTTTTATTTATTTTTTATTTAATAAAATTTAAAAAAACTTTCCCATTAGTGAGAAGGATTTAGCCACATTTTTACTGCTTAGTATCTTCATGTATGTTTCTGTTCCCTTCAACAGATAATAAACATCATGTACAGTCTTTCACACCGCTGCCCTGCACAATGTACTTATGAGACATCTTCAAGCAGATTACATTAATTTTGTATTCATGTCAGGAATTACTTAGTGATAGTCCCTTGGGCTCTGCTGTTTCCTCATTCCCTAATAATGGTGCAATTTTTATCTTTTCTTAGGTTTTCTGTGATGCTGAAATCTTTATCTGTCCTATATATTTTTCATTCTGCACTTTCTTTCTTGTATACCTGTGCCCTGGGACCCCCAGGCAGTTAAGTGTATTAGTGATGATTAACACAAGTGGGTTATGTTCCATTTAAGGCTAACAGTTCTCATGGTTATAATTACACCTTTTCTGTTTGGGCTATGCTTAAACTCATAGATTAAACCTAGTATTTTCCAGGGAAAATATTGTATGATCTCTTGTACCCAGTGGCTAAAACGAAATTTTAGAATGTTTTGATATATTGTTGTACAAAATGTGGTCCATGGACCAGCAACAGCAGTGTCACCTGGGAGCTTGTTAGAAATGCAGACACTCATGTCCTACCCAGATATGTGGGATCAGAATCTGCGTTCTAACAAGATCTGCAGGTGATTCCTATGCATATTTAAATTTGAGAAGTATTACTTTAAAACATAATCTAATGGCAGATCTATATACAAATGGCTCTCAGTTGGTTCCTCCCATGGGCCAGCCACATGCTTGATGCTTCATATATTTCTTTTTTCTTTTTTTTTTTTTCCCAGTGGAAAATAACTTTTATTGAGACCCCACCAGCTGCAAAATCTGTTCCTGGCATTAAGCTCCTTCTTCCTTTGCAATTCGGTCTTTCTTGAGTGGTCCCATGAATGCTTTCTTCTCCTCCATGGTCTGGAAGCGGCCATGGCCAAACTTGGAGGTGGTGTCAATGAACTTAAGGTCAATCTTCTCCAGAGCCCGCCGCTTCGTCTGCACTAGCAAGGACTTGTGGAGAGTGAGCACCTGCTTCTTGGTTCCCACTACACAGCCTTTCAGCATGACAAAGTCATTGGTCACTTCACCATAGTGGACAAAGCCACCCAGAGGGTTGATGCTCTTGTCAGACAGGTCATAGTCAGTGGAGGCATTGTTCTTGATCAGCTTGCCGTCCTTGATAAGATAGCCCTGGCCAATCTTATAGATCTTCTTATTGATCTCAGTGCGGTGATGGTAGCCTTTCTGCCCAGCACGTGCCACAGAGAAGGCCACACGAGCAGGATGCCGTGCCCCAATACAGGCCACCTTGCGCAGGCCTCGGTGGGTCTTGCGGGGCAGCTTCTTGGTGTGCCAATGACTGGTGACCCCTTTGTAGCCTTTGCCCTTGGTCACCCCGATGACGTCGATCATCTCATCCTGCCCAAACACTTGGTTCACAGGTACCTGCTGCTCGAGCCTCTCGCGGGCCCAGTCCAGCTTCTCAGCCACGGTGCCTCCGTTCACCTGGATCTCCGTCAGGTGGGCCTTCTTCTGGCGCAGAGGAAGCAGG